CTGTCCGATCCCTGGTACCACGTTCTCTTTCAAGGAATTTGGGTACATACCGACGTTTCCTCATTGAATTCACTTCCTCGACACTTTAGTCGGTCTTCTCGATTTCGCTTGCCTGTTTATCCGATAGTTCAAGTGAACTTGCTAGCTTAAGTAGATATTCTAGGTTTATGTCGTCCCTCAGTGCTCGTCTTCTTAGTCTTGTTGAGCTGCATCCTTGTATTATCTGTGATTTCACTTCTTTGTCATTGTTGTTAAATTCACAAGTTAACGACAATTGTCTAAGCTTGGTGTGGAACGTGTCAATTGTTTCTCCAAGTTCTTGCTTGGCCTGCCTGAATTTGTACACTTCAAATTCAGTGTTTTTTCTTTGGGGCGAAGTATTCAGTCAACCTTGCTACCGCCGTGTCGTAATCATCACCTGTGTTTGGTAATGTTCTCAAAAATCTCATTTACCTCCTCTCCAGCATAGTGGAGTAGCAGAGCTCTCTGTCTGGCTTTGTCGTTCTTTACTCCCATCGCAAGAATGAGATTGTTCAGTCTCAACTTCCATTTCTTCCAGCGTATGTCCGTTGATATTGACCAGAGAAAACGGTGGTAAGTTAAGTAATGTCGACATTTTGGATAAACTTTTGCTACAAGTGTACTACACAGTAGAACTAGTATATATCCAATAGATTATTCACAGAATCCTCGTTGCCATTGTAATGTTGTGAGAGAGAGGTAAAGGAACACGTCTGTCTAGTTTACAGACTATTTATTAAGTGACCATCAGATTGAACATAATGTTATACAGTCATATAAAACTTAGGTAATATTTTAAAAGTTTATAATTAATTTTGTTAGACATTAAGTAAGTAAAACAATCTTAATTATAAGATGGAATATAATCCTAGCTTTACACAAAGTTGCATTGATAAGATATGTATATTGGTCAGCCTAAATGGGAATATGGGACCTCCTGGTGGGATAAGTACTTTGACTGCAGCTTCCGCACTTAAAAACCGTAACAAAGACCATCAGACTTTGCAGTTCTTCTAGAACCCGAAGATGTCAGAGGCCCAACTAAGAGCTGACCGTGAATTGGTATATTTTTGGATTACTTGTTAATTTAAACTGGTGATTTTATGGTTAATAATTGGAGTAGTTTCATTGGTAAATTTAGGTGAAATCTGGATTATACATGGTGCGCTTATAGAATTCTTGAAACATAACCCTTATTAAATAGGAATTAACTCGTTAGTACTGGTGATGTTTTTACACCGAGTTACAGGTGATAAGACCGGATTATAGAAAGCTGTTGGTGGCGTTGATTCACCAGAGCTGTTCTTAAGAAAAGTATTGGTAATAATCGTTGGTGGCGTCGATTCACCACAATTTATTTACCAGAGTTATCATACAAAAACTTCACCAATAGTTTTCTTTAATTATATTAGGGTAATAAATAGTTTAATGGGTGTTTGAATTTATATATTATTCATTTCCTTGTTTTATCAACAATCCCACATCATCTTTATATTTTAATAAACTTCATAGTGTCTTAATTAGTATTTTGGATTTCTTTTGTGAATTCTTCAAACTGAGGAGGTTACGCTACATTACGCATTTGGCTCGTTAAATATCCGAACCCAAACTTTGTTGACGTTTCGAGCCGCGTCACAATATTCCCATGCATATGATAATGATTGACAACAGATGAAATTAGTGAGAAGAACTTTACCGTGAGAACTGATAATGTCAGAGAGCAGTGCTTCATTGAAAATAAACATTCTGATGCTGGCATGATAATTGTTAAGTACAGATTGACAGATTTAATTTAGAGTATAAAAATTACAGTTTGAATTACACTTGTACATGTATACGGATGTATGTATTGAATGCATTTAAACTAATATAATTTGTATTGTAGAGTCTCTGAAAGCAAAAATAAAATTAATGAATGCAAAAAAAATAAATACGGTAAGCTTTTCAAATAACTCTAATTTAAGAATCCACTTGATCCTAGGATCAAACAGAATGTGAGTATTACAAACAACAGTTATTGGAATTATTGGAGCCGGGAATATCCATCTTTTGCCATTAGGTCTTTTTTTTAAATTATTATTTTACTTATTTTGTTTTCTAAAGTAAAAGGGGTCATAAAGAGCGACAACTTGTTTGTTTACACATTTTGTTGGCGTCGAATAAGATTGTTATTATTCTCATCGAATTACTCTTTTTTTTTTCTCTATAAGCTCTTCTATTAATAATAAAACAAAAGTATCACAAAATTTTTTCAATCAAAAAAAAAAAAAAAAAGAAAAAGAAAAAAAAATTGCAACAACACCCAAGTCGGTTTGAATACCTACTCAGGACTTAATTACGTTGGTAATCGTATTTTTATATATATTCATGTATGCATTTAACATAGAAGAGCTGCTAAAATATATATATACGTAGCTTTCAGAATACTTTTTTTTTTTAAGAAATAGAAAATGCATTACTGTTTGTTTATCCTAATATATAATATCCTACAATAAAACATAATGTAATATTAACATTCAACTGGTCATTCATTGTTAATGTTGCATGGTGACATCGCAATTAGACATACAGATACTAAGGTGCCAGTAAATACTATATATGTGTAGAAGTTCAAGTTAACATATATAGGAACAGAGTGTGCAACTTCTTTGGGATCGTAATGTATCGTTTTACATATAACAGTTTCATATTTCAACCGGTGGTTTGAAAATCTGTATGTCTCATATTCTCTGATAAGCTTGTTAAATATTTTTTAAATATGAGGTTGTGGACCCCTATTTACCCTTCTCTGACATCACCGAATCGGTATATGCCTGACACGAACAGCAGATAGGTTTAGAAGGAGGCGTCTTACAGGAAATTTGGAAATTTGTTTTTATTTTCTTTTCATTTACTTTTAAATAGCACCAGATAACTTATTAGTATGAACTCGACATCCTATTTTTAAAAGAAAAATCGGTTTATCTATTTAAAAAAAAACAAAAAACAAAAAAAACTTGCAGCTTATCGATTGGTGATGTAAAAAAAAACCTTTTTCCCTCTTTCATAAATTCCATCCGTTAATACTTTTACGATCGAACGACAAGGTACTCTCTCTCTCTCTCTCTCTCTCTCTCTCTCTCTCTCTCTCTGCCGAATAAAAAATAATTGAATAGATGTTGAGTTTATAAGAAGATAGAACTTATTTGCTATATAAATTTTATGAAAATATTTTGTTTACTCTTTGAAGTTAAATAAGTGAAGTTATTCTACAAAATTCTCCGATTTCCATAGTTGTCCTAGCAAAATGTAAGGCACATAAGAGATATTCACGAAAGCATGATTGGGAGAGAGAAATGGAGAGAGAGAGAGAACTATAAGTATTGTGTTAAAACAAACACAGGGTGTGTTTGTTTTCCAGACTCTTAAAAAAAGCCCTAGCTCTCTCTCTCTCTCTCTGCGCGCGTGTGTGTGAAAGGGGGATGAGGGTGTTAAGGTGAGAACGTGTGATTAAGGGTGTGTGGAATGGGGGTTCTTACATCTCCTCTGTTTGAAAACATCTTATTGCAGCCGTGAGGACAGGGCTGCTCTATACATATAAGTTTATGTTTTGGTGTATGGGGATTGGGGTGGGAGTAGTTATGTAGAATTAAAGGTTTTCTAAACATTGAAAAGATTGTTAATCAGAATGTTCTTTCCGTTTATAAATTACGAGATACATAATATATTTACTTCAATAAAGTGAATCTGTAAAAATATATATGTTTTTCATATTTAATATATAAAGTTACTTATCATTTACTATCAAAACAACGACAGGTCCCTTTTTTTAGAACATCGAATTTTACTTCTCGGATAAAAACGTACTCTGCACAGTTTGTGTTTAATATTTTTTAAAATACATTTTTAAATATACATGATGCGTGTGTCTAACTTCAATTTATATTTTATGCAGCCAACATTTACTTGAGGAATTGATCAAGTTTAAAATTGTATCGTTTTTAATTGATTTTATCCAACTACAAGTTTTTAAAAATATTTGCGACTATCGTCTCCATCAATTAGACGCATGGCTTTTTACACATATCGCAGCGGTTTGTTGATCAAGACTCATTTTCATTGCTTACTTTATATATTTCCCAGGCGACAATTGATGATTACATCAATGATATCTTGTATATTGTGTGACATGTATGTAGTGTGTATGTAATATGTCCCTTTATAACAGGCTGGGACCAATCGCCCCAGTGAGATATAATTATAGCCCGTTTGGCCTATTGTAGCCGGTTTGGCAAGAAATTTTTTCTGCAACCCTACAGGTTGTTAGATTGATTCCCAAGAAATATAAAAACTTCCGAGGGATCCCTCCCTCTGTTCATACAGAAAAAACTTGTCAACCAAAAGTCATTCGTTTATAAGTATCTTGATGCGGATTTATTATATTATTTGCTAAAATAAAAATTTCCATTTTTTGCAATGTATATTTATATTGCAAGTCGGATATAATATCCCAAACAGGCTATTATATCCGACTTGGACGATTGATTCCAACCTGTTTAAGCTAGATTTGTAAAGGACCGATTCCTTTCGATGAAGCAAAATGTGTTACAATATGAATGTATTTAATTAATAATTGATTATTCTATAACACATAACAATTTTTTTTTATAAGTAAGTGGACTAGTTTCTCCATCAGCTACCGCCAACAGAGATTTTGATTTTACTGAAGTACTTAAAATCAACCAAAATTGAAACTTATTTACCAAAATTGAAACTTATTTAATCACAGTAAAAATTGTAAATCACTTTTATCATCAAATCAATAGAGTCTTTTATTATTTTTATCATCGTCTGGAAGTCCCCCAAAATATTTTGTGTACCCTCCTCCTTTCCAAAAAAAAAGTATATACAGAAATCAAAAAAGAATTTTTTCAACAGTCTAAACAAATTGATACTCAGTATTTACCTCTTTCTTATTTTTATATTTTATCATAGTTACAATGTCAATTGCTACAAGATCCCCAAAGAAGCAGCCTAGCAAATGGTCCGAGAAAAAGCGCAGCAACACCCTTGATGTTCTCACACGTCCCGGCGAGGATACATTCTCCAGTATAAAGCGCTTGAGCCAAAGCAAGATTCTTGTGGAGCCATATAGTTTATATAAAGGGATCATGGCTCTCCGAAATGAGGACCTCAAGCGTGCTGCCATTCTACAATATCATGTAGCGAGGCAACAAGGTCTTCAGTACTGGATCAAGGAATTCCGAAGGAATTGCCAGTGTGACATGTCAGAGAACTGGATTGATGAAAATCTACCTTCTTTGGACGGAAAGAAACTTCACATATTTAAAAAGTCAGGAGCCGCGTATGCCCCCGAATCATCACGCGACATACGTCTTGCAACCAATCCAAACATCAAGATTATTCAAGAGAATGCAGCAGACAACGACACAGGAAATTTTTCTATGGGGAAAGTAGCAAGCTCTGTTGTACTAGTTGAGTCCTCAACTCCGGTAGAAAAGATGAAAGTTAGTGATGTTTCACCTGCCTCGGTTGCACGGGATTCGCAAAGAATCCAGGCCGAGGACAAGATACTAAACTCAAACAAAAGACCATCCTCGAGAATGAAATTGCAAACTTCTAAAAGCCTTGAAAGATCAGTTAATTTTAAGAGACATTATGAAAAACCATCTTGTCGTCAGTCCTCTTCTAGGGAAACGTATGCTGTTTCAGACAGGACTACGCATATGCTAGGTTCTGGAAAACATATCCCCTCTCAAGACGTTTCTACCAGCAGCAGTGATAATGTAGCAATAAGAAAGGTCAGATCCAGGAAGAGAAACTTGTCTGTAACAGTAAGTCAACCCTCGACAAAATTAAAGTCTTCTCAGCATTCAGAGTATTGCATGCTTTCAACTTGTTTTTCCTTGGATAAAAAAGTTAGACGTCATTGCACTAAGAGCCACATGCCGTCAATGTTCCAGATGGTTTCAACAGATTCCAATAATGTTGGTCAGTGTGTCCAAGCATTAAGGTGGCTTATTAGAGCCGCCTTAGGAGAACGAGCTACCTTAGACGATGCAGTGCAAACAGTCAATCGGGCCGGTAAAATTCCTCCAACAATTTCTCTTAACCCACTGCATTCAGATTTATTTCGCCAAGCATGTCGGTTTTTAGAGGTACAAGAGCCTGAAAAGTTCACTCTTCATCCAGTGAATTCTCCAGCTGTATTGTTGTTTTGGAGATGCATCATGGTACTCTTGGACAAATGCAACCAAAGTCAGCAGAAGTATTTTTTTCATTTTAAATCAGTCAGTGAAACATCCATGCCATTTTGCAATCCCATTTCATTCAATACCCCAATTTCGTTGAATATTCAGTCAGACTCAGAGTTGCCATCAGATCTGGAAGAGTATCCTTTGCCAGACGGAAGTACCTCTGATGACATGGAAGTGGCCGAACAGGGTGAGTTACCTGCCGTGTTTGATAGCCACTTTCACTTGGATCGTTCAAGTAAGAAAATCTGGGGAGTTAACAAAGGGCACACTGTAGAGGACGTTTTGCACTATAGTGATTCAAACTTTGTGTCGTGTAAGCCATCTATTCCTGTTAGAGTTGTTGGAGGGATCATTGTCTACAGTGAACCCGAGACATATCCTAATATATCTTTCACTTTGGAAGGACCTTGGAGAGTCGCTGTAGGAGTACATCCAAAACATTACAGATCATTATCTGATGAAAAGATGAGCTTACTGCATCAATTACTTCACCATCCAAAAGTTGTTGCTCTAGGAGAATGCGGGTTAGATAGAAGTGTTTCGCCGTCTGAGTGGTCGCAGCAGGAAGAGGTCTTCGTTAAGATTTTAAGTCTTGCCAAGCCCTGCAAACCGCTAGTTTTACATCTTAGAGGGCCGGTGGGCGATGAGTATGGGTCAGATGTAAATGCAAGATGCATAATGTTAATGGAAAGGTATTGTAGCCGTGCACAATGGATCCACGTCCATTGCTTTAAAGGAAAGGTAGACGTAGTAGAGACCTGGCTAAAAAAATTTCCTAACACTTATTTTGGAGTCACAGCGGCTGTCCGCACATTTGACGAAAACCAGATTACTGGTTTGAAGGCAATTCCAAGAAATAAGCTGGTACTGGAGTCTGATGCACCGTACTTTCCATTGGGTAGAGCTAAAGTCAGCACACCAGCATATCTAGGGGAGACTGCTTCGCTCGTTGCTGTTAATTTGGGTATTAGGCCTTCAGAACTCATGCAGGTCACTTTGGAAAACGCCCGGTACCTGTATAGACAGAAAGTTGGATACACGCTGTAATATTCATATTAGAGTCTGCTTTTGGGGGGAAAAATCATACTTTTCATAAAAAAATCTATATTGGAGTATTCTTGAATCAGATTTTATAATTGAAGTCAGATTTCATAATCGGAGTCAGATTTCGTATTTGGAGTCAGATTTCACTAGTGTATAACAAAATTCATATTCGAATCTTTGCAAACATCAAAGGTCTTTCTGAGTAACTAATATGTTGATATCTCTGATGTGTTATTGTTTTCCTCAGATCAATATAAAAATAAACGGGACCATAGTAATCGATAAATATTTCAATAAAATTGGAAGTAACTCTGATAACTAACGTTTTTCATTACATATCTTTGCTTTTAGGATTATAAAAAAAAATCAAATATACTTTGCAGAAAAGCCTCAAAATGTATAGTGCCTTGCTTCAGAATAAGTACAACCGTAGACTTTTCAGGAATTATTACCTCAAGGTTACGCTTTGCTGTCTGTCTTAGGCTAAAATTGATTTGAGATATCATAGTAACGGTGCATATCATGCATGAATCTCGTAGACTAATAAAACTAATATTAAATTAAAATACACATTATGTAAAACTAGAATGTAACCGATTCAGAACATAAACATGGGATGTACATTTTAGTTTCTGGACTGGAAATAATTTCTACGATACTTAAATATTCTGCCATTTCATTCATTATTTGCAATTGTGAACCGTAAATTATAAAAGATTAACAATATTCTGCTTTTGCTCTCGGGATACACGATGCTAATCTTCTAGATTCATAATAATTATGTTCCCTAAACGAAGTTGGGGAACCTATTGTTTTTACGCTGTTTCTTATTATTAAGGTCTTCCGACTTTCTTCGGAAGACCTTATTGTTTTTCTTGTTTTCTGTTACATGTATTATTATGCTTTTTTCATAGTACAACCGATATCTCAGCTATGCGTGGACAGATATCAAAGATTTTCTCAGGGAAGATGAATCATGAGAATATCTCCAGAGGTTTTTTCATTTTTTTCAAAATTCACTTGCGTTCGCGATTTTTGAGGATTTTTCTATTTTTTAAATGGCATTTTGTCTAGCAGTTTTCTCTAGAACGGGAGAAGATATGAAAGTGAAACTCACTGAGGTGATAGAACATCGAACTTCATTATGGGGAACTACCTTTATTTTTGTCGTCGGCACTTCCGGTGGCAAACGGAAGTGAATTCAAAAAGTCCAATTTCTAAACTTTTTTATTTTTCTATATTTTTCTTCAGGATTTACAGGTTTTATAGTGTGTCTTACAAGAATTTTAAATATATGTTCAATAATTTGATGCGTGCATTTATTGAAAAGATACTACCGAACCAAACTTTGTACCACTGTCGGGGGTTCGAATCCCGACGGGGACGTTTCAAAATTTCAAAGAAATTTCTATTTTAAGTAACCACGGCAACACCGTTCATCGAAATCAAAAACCGATATACAGAATTGTGCATCCCAGTGTAGTCTACTAGTGTGTTAAGTTATATTAAAATCAGACCAAAACTGTAGGAGGAGTGGCATTTTGAAACAATTTCACAGAAATTTCTTTTTTTAGTAACCACGGAAAATCAAAAAACAGATACACAGAATTATGTATTTTAGTGTAGTCTAATTTTCTGCCAAGTTAAATTGGCAGACCAAAACTATAGGAGGAGTGGCATTTTGAAAAATTGTTTACAGGCAGACAGACGGACGCCGGTGTAAAGACGAATAATGACCCCCATCGAATAATGACCGGGGGTCATTTTTCCAGCGAAACATGACCCCCGGTCATTATTCGACGTAGGAAAATGACCCTTTTGCCAGTAGAAAAAGTGTCACCACGCTAAAAATTTGCAGAACCCACGTGAAGAAAAATGACCCCCGTAGAAAAATGACTCCCTTTGGATTAAAGCTGAAATTTTTAGGGGGCAAAAAAAATTAGATAAAGAAGCATGGCCAAAATGCTCACCTGAGCTTATTTGGATTAAATTGATGATATGTTGATTTCATAACATACGATTTTAAGGTCAATGCGATGATTCAGAATCTAAAGGAGTAAAGATTTATCGAGCCCAAAGGGTTAGGTAAACATTGTTTTTCGATGGTGGAAATCATCGTACTGACAGAAAAAATCAGCAGTATCACATATTATTATATCTTCCGCTTGAAAAGCGGGAGGGTATATAGTGATCGGGACGTCCGCCCGTCCGTCTTTTACGCTTTGGGGTATCCATCTGTTATCCGCAACTCCTCTTATATATAAAAAGATGTGTTTGTGAAACAGAAAGAGCATGATTTTAGGGGTTATACCCACCCCACCCCCTTACTTATTTAGGAGGAAGTCAATTATCAACAAAAGCAACAAAAAAAAAAACTACCTTACCTTTATTTCTCTATAAGGAGGGACTAAAAATAAGCTTAAAATAATCTACTATTCTACTAATTTTCAACTGTTACTTTGCAACAATACATTCAAGTATACCCCCACCAACATTTAAAGTATGCTTTAATACTGGCGAAGTAAATTATGATATGATAGAACTTGTGTGAAGGCTTAACTTCATTTTGATATTTTACCTAGAGCCTCTTTCAGTATTATTGAAAGGTATAGAGTTTTATTTATATATTTTTTTTATCAATTTTTTGTTTTGATTTAACGTAATTTTTTTTTGGGGGGGGGTGGGGTGAAAATTTCCTCCTCTTTCATTGTCAAAAAGGATTTGCCAACTTATACAAGCTTAAAGTTGAAATGAAGGAAAAATTTTTCCAGTAAAGAGTATTGGAACCTAATTGTGCATGGTTTGATTTCTAAAAACAAGTGGAATATCATTCTTTAAGCAAACACTATAAAGAGGAAATTAAAAAGAAATTTTATTACTTGACAATTAAAGAATCTCTTTTCACTTTAAAAGGGTTCATTTTTCAATGGGGCTCAATTTTTTATAGGACTAACATATAAAATAATGACCCCTATGACACTTTTTCTACAAAAAATGATTTTTTTTCTACGGATAGGGGGTCATTTTTTGTCGTTGAAAAATGACCCCCGGTCATTATTCGATGGGGGTCATTATTCGTCTTTACACCGGACGCATTACTATCGCATAAGCTCTTCTGGTCTCTGACCAGTAGAGCTAAAATAAACAGAACAAAACAAACACTGTTTATTAAATGAACAGAGAGTTAGAAATCAGACCAAAACTATAGGAGGAGTGGCATTTTTTTGAAAAATTGTTTACAGGCAGACAGACGGACGCCGGACGCATTACTATCGCATAAGCTCTTCTGGTCTCTGACCAGTAGAGCTAAAATAAACAGAACAAACAAACGCTGTTTATTAAATGAACAGAGAGTTAGCTATCTTCTTTTAGGATGCATGTAATGTACATTACAAATGGCCTATGTTACAACAATGTATATATACTATCTGCAATATGCCTATATTTTGAACTATATTGTTTTCTTCTATTGAAATTTACATTTAAAGTTGGAATAATAAAACCAGAATCCTCTGTCGAGAAAAAGTATCAGTTGGGAATTGAAACTTTACAACAGCAATAAATAGAATGATGCTTCATTGAGCTCTTTTTGTGGCAAGATTTTGCAATAAGACAACAGCTGTAGGAGTAGCTGTTATAACATTTTTGGAGTATTTTCAATTTTAGTAAATATGGCAACATTGTTCATCGAAATCAAAAATTGATAAATAGAAATATGCATCTTAGTGTAATCTACCTGTTTGCCAAGTTATATTTAAATCAGACCAAAACTGTAGGAGAAGTAGCATTTTGAAAGTATTTCGTAGAAATTTCTATTTTTACATGTTTTAGTAACCACGGCAAATCATTCATCGAAATCAAAAATCAACATACCGAATTATGTATCTTAGTTTAGTCTACTTGTGTCCCAAGATATATTGAAATCAGACAAAAACTGTAGGAGGAGTAGCATTTTGAAAAATTGTTTACAGACAGATAGACAGATGGACGGACGCCGGATGCATTACTATCGCAAAAGCTCTTCTGGTGTCTGACCAGTAGAGCTAAAAACAAACTCAGAATCTTCATTTGACATACATATAATCCATGTAAACAGGTCAATACTGTTACGCAGTATCAAATCAGGAAAAGTTTTAAAGACTTTCTGAATTTTGTGAGAATTACAATGTACCCGATTGTCCTGGTTTTTCATATTCAAGTATTTTTCAAAATAAAATGACCTTTTATACTTAAAATATTTATCTATTTATCTATCTATATATTTTTATCTATTTATCTATCTATATATTAATCAAAGCCTTCCAAATAATTGGTACAGATATTGTTCCAAGAGTTGAAAAAAATAACTAGAAATATGTCCAGAGGATATGAATGCTCCGCCGAGGTTATTTCAATAATGCAACATGAAAATTCGAATCTGTGTATGAAATTTCAGAATATCTTGAATAGTGATGCAGTTGAATTGCTTACATCAGTATGTATCAGAATATGAAGTTTAAGACTAATTTAAGAAAAGTGAGGTCAAGGTCAAAGATAAGGTCAAGGTAAAAAAAAGCTCTGATCAGTATGATCAGCATATGAAGTTGAAAAAAATATTAATGGTTTCTTTAAAACTGACTTATCACAATTTGATAAAACCCCGTGGGGATCCGGGTTTGAATAGGTCTTCAGTACCCCCTTGCTTGTCGTAAAAGGCGACTAAATGGGGAGGTCCTTCGGATGAGACCGCATAAATCGAGGTCCCGTGTCACAGCAGGTGTGGCACGATAAAGATCCCTCCATGCTCAAAGGCCGTAAGTGCCAAGCATAGGCCATAACTGTCGAGCATAGACCTAAATTTGCAGCCCTTCACCGGCAATGGTGACGTCTCCATATCAGTGAAATATTCTGGTGAGGGACGTAAAACAGTATACAATCAATCAATCAATATGATAAAAGTGAGGTCAAGGTCAAATGAAAAGTCATGGTAAAAAATGTTGATTCAGGTGAATTGATTACATCAGTATGTAACAACATATGAAATTTGACAGTAATTTATGAAGTGAGGTCAGGGTCAAAGAAAAGGTCAAGGTCTGTTGATGCAGTTGAATAGCTCTCATCAGTATGTATCAACATATGATTGATTGATTG